AGATTGCAACTCTTTCGAAGCTCAGATAATGGTTAGCATTTTTTAACATTAAAGTATCTTTAAGGGCACTGGGGTGGCTCAGTCGGTTAAGTGTCCGACTTCAGCTCAGGATGTGACCTCACGGTTCCTGAGTTCAAGCCCTGCATCGGGCTCTGTGCCGACAGCTCAGAGCTTGGAGCCTGCTTCGGATTCTGTGTCTCCTTCTCTCTCTGCTCCTCCCTTTCTCACACATTGTCTCTCTCTAAAAAATATATAAACATTAAAAAATCTTAAGTGTCTTTAAATTAAGATATGTACATTGCTTTTTTAGACATAATGTTAATATGCACTTAATAAACTACAGTGTAAACAACTTTCATATTCACTGGAAAATCAGAAAAGAAATTCATTCACTTGCTTTATTGTGATATTCACTTTACTGCAGTGGTCCGGAACTGAACCTCCAGTATCTCGAACGTATGCCTGTATCTGGCATCTTAGACATAAGTGAGCCCTCAAAACATGACTATGTGCTTCTGTGGAATAAAATTAGGCTCCTCCTCCCTGAGAGGCTTTGTGTTTCTCAACCTACTTTCCCAACCCGGATGGCCTTCTTTAGCTTTCCAGCTATCAGCAAAACATTCTTACAACAAAAGTTTGGAAATTCATTAACTTTAAAGTAAAAGTAACTGAAAATGGCTTACAGTGTTCCCTCTCCAAAGGAGAATTCAATATGGATAAAATCCCTACTAAAACATTTGCAATATCCTACCATTTAATAACAATCTTTAGGGAGCAGGGAAGGAGAGACTTCTTTGGGGGGATGGGTTGAGACATAAGTGAGTGACTTGCTAAGCAGAGAGAAACTATTGTTATTGCAACATATTCTGAGGCCCACTGTTTGCAAACATCAATGAATATATTGGTTTCTATACTTGTTTAGCAAGCTAACACTTAACCCAAGCCCTTCAACCTAGGTACCCCATCAAGGACTCCACAACACTCCTGCACTTTAAGAGAGCTTCTGATATTTTAAAATGAAAGTTCGTTGGGTTTGTTGGGGAAAAAAGAAACTTCCCTAAGATTTCATGCATGGAGAAGGCAGGGCTTCATGTAGTTCAACACAAATATAAAACAAAACGTGGTCTTCTAGAGAGGTATGGATATACTAAGGCAATTAAACAAGTAAAATTAATTAGAAAATGGCCCATAACCTCTTTATCTCTTAGCAAACAACCAAATTCACTCTGATGGAGGTCAATAGGGTGATACAAAAAAAAAAAAAAAAAAAAAGCAAGTTGACCTCCTTTCCCAAAATGTTTGGGTCTTGTGCCATCTCACACAATAAATAAGTATACCCTCAAAACCAGATTAATACAAGCTGATATCTTTACTGGTCTACAGATTCTATCTTGAAATCTACCTCCATTTTGAATTAATCAAATACTGTTTTCCCTTTTTTATAGAGCACTCACCACATCACCAACTTGAATAGAACATACACGACTCCGCCATGTCATGTAATTTGTAATAATCCTAGATTATTTGTCTCAGCCTTACAGTTTCAAACTCCCATATTGGAGTACCACTGACGTGAAAGATAAAACTTCACTTTGGCCTCTTTTAAAATAATTGTTTATTTCTTGCTCACTGAGATATGTCAACACTGTCAGAGTTAACTTTCAGAGCTGAGGTCTCAAAGCTAATTTGGGCTGAGTTGTTGAGTGCTGCCTAAGTGTTAGCCTGAATACTTGTTCTAACCTTGCCTTCTTCTCTGTCTGGTTCTATTATACTTCAGAACAATAGGCCATTATAAATGTTGCTTTTGAGTAGATTAAAGTTATAAAACAGAGCTGAGCTGATCAGATCGTGACACTGGGTTTTGAACGTTACAATGCTTCCCATCTTTAAAATTAATTCCTCACACAGATATTCCTATATGTAATCTATATCAATGCACTCAGAGAGTAAAAGCATATTTTGAAAATCTATTTCGGAAGCCAATCATACTGTGTTTAAAAAAAAACACCCAGTTGTTAATTACTTAGCAAAATGAAGTCCTCGTTTGGCAAGTGTATAAACATCCCCTGCCCAAATATGTTTCTTTCTCTAAGCTGAACATTTCCTCTGAGTTTTCTTAAATCATGGCCCTTTTATATTATGTACACATTTTGCAAGACACTTTAAATTTACCTTTCTTGGTCAGCTCTCCAGAAATGACTGACTTCCAAACCCATCCCCCAACCCCTGGAATCAAGTCTATTTTTCAAATTTCCAATTTAACATCTCCCTTTTCAATCACACATTCATCTGTGCTCACAGAAATGTTTGGTGTTTGCCAGCAGCAGTAGATTGTGTGTTCTCCTTCCCTCTCTCTCTCCCTCTCTCTCTCTGTCTCTCTCTCTCACCTATGAGTCATTACAATTTCAGTAGATTCACAATAGAGAGTTCAGAACCTGTCGCCCACACCTCACTGTAAGCTAAAGAAACCAGAAGACAGCTTTCTCCTCTTGTAAATGTCAAGTGTTCAGCATGCCTCCATCAGAGGCTAAATAGATATGAAAACCTTAGAAAAGTAAGTCCTTGGGGCTGGGCAAAGCTTTGAGTATTCTGCTCCAAAGTGGACTTTCCCCACAAGAACATATGATTGGTACTTCCGGCTGCTTCTTTCATCAGGCCGAACTCGGCAGCACCAGCTTTGTATATGATTTGTCCTGATTGGGTGAGACAGGACAGGAGATTTTCAGATTTTCCAGAACTGTGTCTATGGGAGGAGGGAAAGGGGGGTGGTCTTCCATCCAAGACTTCTTGAGCGTAGCTTCTCTTTTCTTAAAAGTCCAACAGCCCACACATCATGTCACGCTTATTACTAATTCTTCTTGGTTGACAAAGGGTGGTAAAACCAATAGAAGGCTTGCATTTGGTCATCATTATGCTTTTCATGAGCACATCCCCAAGTATTGTGTCTAAAAGTCTCCTGAGATTTGGTAGGGAGGATATCCAATCAAAATAAGCTCAGGTATCTAACCAAAGTGTCTTTGTGGCTGCTGGGATTATTTTGTCACATTCAGACAGAGAAGAATGCGTTTAGACAAATTGGCGTGATTGGGGCTGGAGACCTGACCAAGCAATCAGGGGCAGAAAAGGAAGAAAGGCCAGGGAAGAGGGACGGGGTGAAATCAGATGTTCACTCTGTATTTCACTCCAGAAAACAGCTCGCAATTATAATTACCCACCTTGTTTCGCAGCTCAGAATAAAAGTGGCGTTGCATCAAACCCTACCCAAGCAGCCATCGTGATTAGAAAGTACTCCACACCTTGGAGAACTGAGGAGACATGAGCATAATTTTAAATGCAAATTAAATTGAGGGGGTAGCAGAGAGAACACATAAAAGACAGTAAAACAAAACCTTTCAATTTTCTTAAATTAGCAGTCTAATGTGTTCTAAAGAGCAGTTCCACTCAGATCCCTTCTTAGGGCTTGCATTTCATCACAATATAAAGTGGGCAAATCCATCACTTTCCTCTGCTCAGTGCTCTTGAACTGAGATTGAAGGGAAAATTAGAAGCTGTTCATTTGGGCTTCGTGCTCAGCCGCATTGTACAGCTTCGTTTTATGCTCCGCGGTGTCCTGCTGAAAGGGGCCAACAAGTGCTGGTGAGTACCCGCTAACTTCTAGACTCTTCCTCTTCCTTTCATATATCTTTTTTGGCTCCCTGGCTTTTACAGGTGGGGGAGGGGGCCTCCCAAAAGATCTATGTTATAATGCATTTTTTAAAAGCTGGGAGATTTCAGGCAGCTTTTTAAGCTGCTTCCAGTGACTGAGTCGCAGAAGGAAAGAGAGTTATTTTCAGCCTAGATGCTGGTGACTGATCTATGTATTAATTATAACAGGGGAACATTTAACATATGCTAGCTAAAATGGCCTTTCCCTACAACCCGTAGCCAGCATTAGGGTAAGAACTGAGTGCCCCCAACAATTTCTAGGCAACTTTTCTATCATATTAACGGTTCAATCAGGTAATTCTGTTGCAACTGCTGATCAAACGGACTGGGGGCTATGAACATAAATTATTAAGCCAAATCCCATTTTTAAAGGACTATGACACTTCTCTGTATGAGAGAGGGAAGGGTTGATGGGGAACAGACCACATGATGGTTACATGTCGATTTTGACAGTGATGATTTTGTGCCAAAGTTTTATATGGGAAACTGGTCATTTTCTTCCTTCACAGTGGAGGATACAAAGAGCCTGAGGCTGGCGTCACCTTCCGTTGCTAAGGTAACATGTTCTGGCCATTTTATCTGATAAAGGAAGTCCAGTGGACTATATACATTATTCATTGCTCTTCTAATCAAACAATCAAAATTGTTTACTTTCATCGGGAATTTAGTGAGATCAAAGCCACTCGGGCTGAAATTGTTCTTGCTTTTACTGCCGGCAGTTAGTCCTTGATTTTTTTTTCTGTAAGTATGATTTGCTGTTGGGGTACCTTTGGGTATTTTTTATAAAGTTTCCTCTTACCAGATTTGGTTTCTTAAATTAAAATATGCACTGTTAGGAAAAGAAGTGGATTAGCCTTCCGAGCTTGATTTTAATGACTTTATCTTGTAATTTCTTTCCAAAAACATCCTGCAGAAATGGAGATACTTCATTGGTACAAGTATCAGGGAAAGGCTACAGATGCTAAAAAGAACCCAACAGTCTGAATGATTTTTTAATGAAGTGCATCAGCTTCTTGACAGGCTAGTGCATGATAATATTAGAGGAATCATTGGAATTCTGAAATAATTGTTACTGCTCTACAAACCGGAATTCATTCTCAAAAGCAGCCTAGGTCAGGGGCAAGCAGATGATGATCCTCCAGCACCTTATAAAATGTGCTGGAAGGAATCACCCACAAGGAAGGAATTCAAGGTATTTTTACAGCAAACATGTCAGCATGTGTCATAAACGCAAGGCACATAGAAGTGGAGGCTCGGATTCCCAGACGATTCTCACTGTTCTAGGGGAATCAGAACTCCCTGGACCAACTGAGGATCGATTCAGAACGGCTGACACTTAATGATGCCATTCGTCAGACAGACCTTTTGAAGATGGATAGCATATGAATTTAACGGCATATTTTCCAGTTATTACACAACAAGGAAAGACTGGTATGCTATTTCTCTTTAGCTTAAATCATGTGGGATTTTTTTTCTGAGTACAATATATTTCTTTTCATGAAGGTGGATTAAATGTTGCATTTTTCCATACAGTAGGAGAGGTATGTTGAGGAGCGGCTTTAACATTGGCAATGCCAGTCAAATGAGGGAATGTTATAATGGGATATTTCTTCTTCCAAAATTTTTAACATATATGTGTGTGTATATAAATATATCCTTATATAGCAAATATAATATATTGCAGATACATATCTATTTAAATACACAAATACATATATTTAACTATATTAGATATATTATTAATTATATATATGTTTAAAATCTATTTGTCAGTCCAAAATACTGTGGATTGTGTTTTCCTTTTTCATAGGCATACAAGTGACTATTTGGTCTTGAAACTCTGCGCTTGGAACATCAAGGATGGATTATCCCAAAATGGATTATTTTCTGGATGTCGAGTCTGCTCATAGACTCCTGGATGTCGAGTCTGCTCACAGATTCTTCTACAGTCAAGGAGCTCAAGGTAATAAAATGCGAGAAAGAGAGAAAAGTCCTCTCTTTTGCATGTTGATGTTGTATCGACAGTGTCCACCAAGGCAGATTAAGATCTACTACAGGAGTTCAATAATTGGGATTATGAAACCGATAATGAACCTCTACCAAACACTTGCTGAAATTGAGGCAGGCATGTAATAGAATGGATAAATGCAAACTTTTGGGATGTGGGAAAGAGAGGTAGAGAGAGAGAAAGAAAAAGAAAGAAAACAGCATCCCACTCAACTTTTGGCACAAATGTCCCTTAGAAAGCTCTGTTAGAAAATAATTCTCCACCTCCTTGCACCCAAGGCATGGGTTTGAAAGGTGTCATGAATGCTTTTACCCTCTCCCCCCCCCACCCCCCCACCGGAAAAGGTTAAGATTGCAGCCACTATGCTAGAGGAAATCTGGCCCACGCTGACCTCTCTGACTGACATCTAGTTGGCTTTGGGGCTCCCTGAGATAAGCTTTGTGCTTCTAGAGTTGCCTTATCTATTTTAGACAAATTCAGTTATGGCTCCAGGAATTAACCATACACTCAGGGAGCAGTAAGGAACACGCCTGCTCTGAAGTGTGGCTGATCCGAGCATTTTTATTACATATTTCAGGAGGGTCAGTTAGGCTCCAGTATGCTAGCACTTCTCATTCCACGGTGCATTCGGAATGTTTTGCCGGCACATTAGAAAGAAGCTGGAGTGTTTTATGGAATCTCCTGATGGGCAGGAGATTTTTAAAAACCATATTTTCTTTTTTTTTCCCATGCAATATTTAGAGTCTCCAGTCAGAGCAATCTGATGATGGGCCTCCCCCACGTGGTAGAAGTGATGCACTGAAGAGAAAGGCAAAGTCCATACGTATTCGTAAACAGAAAAGTAGTCAAATTCTTGGAAGTCAAAAGGCAGAACTGAGAGGGAATGCTGTTGGGACAATCCTGGCATCTCTCTCTGTGTTAGGTGGCGGTGGGTACTTCACACTCTGGCTTCCCCAACAGTCTCCTCTGCATTGGTTTTATCTCACTGCCAAGCCCATTTCCCATGGCAACTTCGAAGGCTTGCAAGTCTCCTTCTCCTCTGCTTCCGTTTTCCTGGGCACAATCCAGGCTTCCTAAAGCAGAGAGGAGTTGGAAATTATGTGGTTGATTTGCTTGGGTCACTGTGCTCATCAGCGGAACTTAAATTAGCTGAAGTGATAGAATAGCCAATTCTCCTTGTGCCCCTGGTTGTGTGGCATCAGCAGATTCTACCCTGAGCCACCTAAAGAGACATGAATACTGACGCAGGAGAAGAGTGAGAGACTGACTAGCCAGAGCCTCCAGCCTCTTTTCTGGGTCTGCAAGTAAGAAGATGCTAGAAGTAAATGGAGGAAAGAGATTGAGGCTCAATCCTATCATGAGTCCCATTTTAAACCTTACCACGTCTGATCCATTCAATCTGAGCGGGACAGTAACATTCAGTGGTGGGGTCATCTGCTTGAGTGGCATAACCATCGGCAGATCAGAGAAAGGGAACACGCTTCGTTGTCCGTGTTAAAGAGGCCCACTTTGCCTTTTGAGTCGGGACGGTTTAAGCTTTTCAGAAGCCTGTGGGCTCCGGGCTTTCACGGAAGGCAGGCAGGCAGGCAGGGTGTGGGAGGCTCAGAGGACTCAAAGCAGCCTGGTGGTTGTCAGCAGATGGAGTTGGGGGTGGAGTGGTCAGAAATGTCACCATCCGTGACTGTGGTTTAGACAGCAGAGCGGGGATGACTAGAAAATGCAGGGGAGGTGGTAGCATCAGCTACCGGCGCTCCTGATAGATAGCACGTTCATTTTAAGGTCATCGGAAGGATGTCCCAATCGAAGAGTCTCAGATTAGTAGTGAGGCTGAGGGGTGCCTAAACATCACCTAGGTTGATTTCTTCAAACCTCAACCTTCCTGAATCAGACATGCAGGTGTAAAGCCTAGGAGTCTGCATTTTAAGCAAGAGCTCCCATGGTGATTTCCAGCACATCAGTCTGGGGGCCCGCAATTCAAAACCAGTCTGCCCAGTCCAATTTCTTTCCTTCATCGCCAGAACTGAGAACCTTTCAGCCTCAGAGGCAGGGTGATGCAAGGTTACAGACCCTGGGCCTGGTCTAAAAGAGGTTCGAAACCTAAATCTGCCCCAATGAAGCCCAACAGGCTCCCCTCTGTGACCTTCAGTTCTCTCATCTGCATAAAAATGGGAACAATAACAGAGCCTGATTCCTGAGTTGCTAGGAGTCCTAATGAGGTAAGATTTTAAAGGGCTTAAAACTGTCTGCCACGTAAGAAATGCTGTCTGTCAGCAAACCAATGAAATAAACATCCCTGGCAAAAGGCTATCGCTTCCTTCCTCTATTTGAGATTTCATGAGGTGGCCACTGCCTGGCAAATAAGAATGTGCCTGATAGGAATTTTACTTCCCATTTTTAGCAAAAAAAAAAAAGGAAGGAAGGAGGAAGAGAATGAAGGGGAAGAAAGGAAAGAAGGAGGGAAGGAAAGAAGGAGGGAGGGAAGGAAGAGTGTAGGAAGGAAGGGATGGAGGGGAATGAAAGAAGGAAGGAAATTAAATTTCACATAAATTCTAAAACAGTGATTATTTTCTTGTCACATCAAAATCCCACTCAGGGCAAAATGGGAAAATAGTGAAAGTTTGTCTTGGTGCTCCCTATCTGCCTAGTCCTCCATTTCACATGAAAGGTGAGACCCCCCTTTTCTCCCCACACCTTCCCCAGAACCCCTCCACCTAGGACCAGTGAACCCCCATTTCCGTTCTGGAGCTCTGCTGCCTTGATGTGGGGCTTGAACCCCTTGCTGCTCAGGTTCTATGTAGCAGCTTGCTTCTGCTTGGCACAGACTCCCTCAGTCTTTCCTGGACAACGAGCCCCCCCCCCCCCCGACCTGGTAAAGGGCTCTGGGTAAGTGGGCAAACCCTGGTTTGCATCCCTCCCTTTCAGAACCAGATGCATGTGTCTGGATGGATGCCCGCAGCTGGCATCTCACCAGTGGCAAGGCTCTGTGCACCAGTGGAAAGGAGGCAGCATGGAAGCTGGCTCTCGGGAAAGGCAAGTGAGGCATCTAGGGTTTTGTGCTTCTACTGAATCACAGAGCATGGCAGCTCCCTAGCTGGGCAGCCCAGCCTGGGGACAGGGGCATTGTAGGTCATGTAGCCCTGACTTGACACCCTGTAGGGGGTGCCTGGCATCCGAAGTCGGTCGAACATCCGACTTCGGCTCAGGTCATGATCTTGCGGTTTGTGGGAGCCCTGCAATGGGCTCTGTCCTGACAGCTCAGAGCCTGGAGCCTGTTTTGGATTCTATGTCTCCATCTCTCTCTGCCCCTCCCCTGCTTGTGGTCTAGCTCTCAAAACATTAAAAAAAAAAAAAAAAGGCCCAATTGGGAGCACAGTATTTAGCTGAGCACCTGGAAGTTGGGTGACCTAGAATTTGATCCACTCAACTGGTGTGTGAGAATTGCTTTTTTGGCCATTCTCAAAGTCATGTTGATATTTCTACAGACTGATCAAAGTGTTCATGTAGGTGTAAATGCTTTTAAAGAGGCAAGCAAGAAAATCTGAGTTTTATTTTCCACATCACCAGCCTTGTATCGATTTTACTTACAAATCCATAAACTTCTTAGAAACCATCCTCTTCTCTATTAGTTACATGCAAAGTGATTGTCTAAGGCCATGATACCAGAATGGTAATGTTTTTGACCCCATCACAGTTATTTTTCAATTCTTTGTGGAAAGTGGCAAAAAGCCTACCACGAAGTAGAAAATGTTTTCAGCTAGTAAAAAATCAGAGAAATCACAGAGGGTGAAAAGGAAGGGGAAAGCAATGCAATCTATCAGGGGGAAGATTCTTTTGAAAGTCCCAGAGATTTTCAAAAGTCAGTCATCTGCTCTGTGGAATAAAGCAGGTCGCTCTGTGGACCTTCATTTTTTTCTTGCTTTGGCCTGAAGGTAGGGAAGATGAGTCCACCTCTCTGGGGAGTCTGCTTGAAAGCATGACATGTTGCAGAGAGGGGGGGTGAAAACTAGGGTCACCCTGTTTGCCATCCGTCAGTGAAGGATCATCTCCCAATTAATCTGTGAGTGCTCCGTCAACAGTAAAGCCTGCTTACCGAGACGGAGCTCTGCAAAGCTTGCTACTAACTGAAAAAAGAGAATTCTTGAGATTGAAGACACACATGGCATAGACATCCACCATGTTCTGACATCCCATAACTTAAGCTCCCCCGTCTTCCAGGTTTCTGGCAACGATGACCCGCACACTCAACTTTAGACTCTAACTTTTTCTTACTGAACAATTGCATTTGGAGAGAAGTGATATTCTTAGATCACAAAATTAGCATCTTGGGATTTTCAGGTTGAAATGGACGTTATAGAAGGGTGACTCTGTTGGCCCCTCCGAAAAAGCAAGTGAAATGGAACTTGTGAGGGCCAGACCCGGGTCCCAGTACTACATTTTCTTTTCGAAGTTTTTTACTGTTTGTTTTTTTGCTGTTTATTGAGACAGAGAGACAGAGCGTGAGCGGGGAAGGGTCAGAGAGAGAGGGAGACACAGAATCCAAAGCAGGCTCCAGGCTCTGAGCTGTCAGCACAGAGCCCAACATGGGGCTCGAACTCACAAGCCGTGAGATCATGACCTGAGCCGAAATTGGATGCTCAACCGACTGAGCCACCCAGGTGCCTCCAGTGCTACATTTTCAACAAGCCACTTGGCTATTCTGATGAATAATGAAGGTTGAACACCCCTGCTATGGATTATTAATCACATGCTATTCAGAATGTAGTTCTCAACTAGCAGCAACAACTTCATCTTGGGGCTGGTTAGAAATCTAGAATCTCAGGGACCCCAGCCCTAGAAAATCAGAGCCTGCATTGTAACAAGATTTCCAGGTAATTTACATTAGTTTGAGAAGAAATGAGTGAACCCAGTGCATATTAGAAACACCTGGTAAGCTTTTATGAACTCCAGACTAGAGC